CTAATTCCTAAGACTTCTACACGGATGTCATAGGATTTTAGGGATCTAAATAAGAAAAGCAATAGCAATCCTATATACAATTGAAGTTTCTAAGGCCTTAAGGGAAAGAGGCGTACAACCATCTAGGCCCCTAAAGGTTTTCTAAGTTTTTAGTAAACTTACAGCACCGGGGGCTACGACCCGGTGGTTTCGCCCATAGCGCCCCTACCAGATGGGTAGGGACGACTGATGCTTAGGTCCAGTTGTCCTAGCTCCAGTTCCAAGTGCTCCTAGTCCATTGCTTTCCAAAAGGTACCTCGCAAGACATAGAAAGAGAGGTATTAGAGCAGTTCTATAAATAAACAACAGTGTAAGGAAATGAAAAAAAGAACGAAAATCGAATACGAAAAGGGGTGTAGGCATTGTTGTTATTGGATACACTTCGTAGAAGCCAAGTGCATCCTATAACAGCAACAATGCCCTTTGTTGTTCCCACTCCAAACGAGGCACTTGATACGAATCTAACTCTACTAACCAACACATTCTAAACAAATCTTATAACGACTAAGAGGATATGAATTCTCAATTCTAAATCCAAAATAAGAGTCTCTTTTATTTTGTATTTTCTCCCAAAATTCTATGTCTCTTTTCTATAGAAGCTAACACTAAAGGAATCTAACCCAAACAAGTAAGAACTACCTTACTCCCAAAAAGACATTAGAGATTTTCTAACTCCAAGCTTCCTAAGATCTCAAACTCCAAATCTATCTTATGGAGAGAGATCCCAAGTTAATCTAACTTAACGCTGCCTAAAATCTAACCCTCAAAATTCATCCTCAATCATAACCACCGAGAGATTTTAATTCTAATAGGGAAGCATTAACTACTTCCCCAAAAGACACTAAAGGATCATTCTACACAAATTCAACTATAAAATTATAGATCCCAAAATGATTTGCAAGAACTTTTTCATGAACTACTACAAAAATCTCCTCAAAAGCTATCTATCAAAAATCACCTTTTCTTTTTCATTTTATTTGACGCAAAAACTTCACAAAATCCCTACAAAATTTTCTACCAAAATTTCTCTTTTTGACACAAAACTCTACCCAACCACCCACAAATCAAGTGCCTCCTCACATTTGGAGTGGGGTATATAAAAAAAGACAAAGCTTTCCAATGAGAAGATTTTATGGAAATCCCTCATCGTAAAGCACTCGTCGTAAAACCTTCGCAAGACGATTCGCAAAACTCACAAAACAAAACTCCTCGATGCAAAATAACTCATAAAGCCTCTATCTATACTCTCATACTAATACAAAAGAAACACTCCAAACCACATTCCAACCATAAACCAATCCATGAGATATTCTAACAATGTTATCAATGCCACTTCCATGAAACTCAATCAAGTGGAGGAATGAAACAAAGAGATATTTTACCATATATAAACTTTTATACCTAAACATGTTTCTAATCATATGAATTGTTTTGAATACATGAAGTACATGACTACCTCCAAAAGAGTTTGTAAACTTTCTACTATATGCCAACAACAAGTTTAATAAAAGTTCCAACCCAAACTCATTAACACTTTTGTTAAAGGATATGAAATTGCAAACCTCTTAACTGATGAGTATATATAAAAAAAAAAATCTCCAATCCATTCCAAAAATTATCTTAGAGCATGAACAAGTGAAAGCTTGCATTCGGGTCGCTCCCAAAACAATTTGGAGGCTAAAACCATAAAAAAACTGCACTTATTTCATTCCTACAACAATCCGGGAGCTCAAAAACGATGAAAAATTGCATGCACTACTTTCTACAACCATCCGGAAGCTCAAAAATGTTAAAATCTGCATGTATCTGTTCTCAAATCCATTTGGACGATTAAAAACAGTAAAACAACAGCATGTATCTCATTCCTACGACGATTTGGAACTTAAAGCACATCAAAATCTGCATGTATATGTTTCCAATGATAGCCCGGAAGCTCGAAACAACGGAAAATTACAAGTATTTCATTCGTACGATAATTCAGAAACTCAAAATAGCAAAAATCTGCATGAATAAATACCCAAAAGCAGTTTGGAGCAAAGAGATAGCAAAAATCTGCACCTATCCATTCCCAAAAGCAGTTTGGAGCAAGAAGATAGCAAAAATCTGCACCTATCCATTCCCAAAAGCAGTTTGGAAACCTTACACCATGTGCCAAGAAGCATGTGAACAAGTTCTCACAACCCAAATCCATAAATTTCATCAAATACAGGGCCCTTTATGTAATTACTATATCTTTCTAAGAAGCTCAAAAGTGAATTGATACCATATCAAACTTTTAAACATAAGAATGCTACACGATTATTTGCTAACAAATGTCATGCCCAACACTTAATTGTTAAACCAAGTCAAACATGGAATAGAACCACTCCAATGTAAGAGTCATGTTTCATACTCTAACGGAAAGGAGGAAACACATGTATCATGTACTTAATTAATTGCATAGCAGTGCAATCTTTACTCATTCCACCAACGGTTCTAGAGTGAAAGAAAGTGTCTTCTCTTTTTAAGAGAATCAAAATTTCATTTTATAATCAGATAAATCCAACAACATTAGAGAGCAAGAAGTAGCAATGGAAATCAAACTACTAGCAACGCGCCATTTCGACTATAAGTTGGTGAAGTTGTAACGACTTTCATGATCCCTACAACGATCACTTTAGAAAGGTTGTTATTCCAAAAGACATTCAAAACATCAATTTAGCAACCAAAGATAAATACTAGTCCACTCAATCCTTGGACTCCACATGAGATCCACATGCAATTTCATAAGAAACATAAAGCGACATAGAAAATTTCTAACCATACTCCTAAACCTTGCTTTGAATATCAAGAGTGCAACCATCGCTTGCCATGGATTCAAAGTTAACATTATGCCATTGGAAAGAAAGAACATAGTCATGCTCCACTAAGCAAACTTCCAACCAATCTATGAACCATGAGAACATATAAACACTTAAGTAAATACTACTCAAAAGCTATAATCTCACTTAGAATGTAAAAGAAATAAAGCCTACAAGCATTTTATCAATACGTCGCTCGGGCAAAACTCATGGCATCTCTTAATATGATGGTTTTGATGTAAAGCATGCATTCAATATGACATTCTACACCAAGACGAGATAAAAAAAAACTACTTATTCTTCTTATAAAACACGATTTTTGATGCTCTTTACAAAACTAATCAAGATACCATGAATGTCATAAATAACAAGTAACTACTTTAGCAAATAATGGAAGAGTTAGAAGCAAACCCATATTTCCAAACGTTAGAAGTTTTCTTAAAGGAGGAAAACGTGTAGTTCTAGCTATCAAATCTTCTCATGAAGCAAGGTACTTATCAATCACTTGCAAGGGAAATGGGCTTAAAACATATACTCCTCTTTCTATTAGAACTTCCACATTCAGAAGAGAAAGACGTAGATGAGACAAAACATAAGTATATTAACAATCCTTTAATATGTATTGCTACAACTTCGCATGTGCATATTTTGGTGGCAAATAAGAAATCTTTCCATGTTTTTTTTTTAGAGCTTCTATATGAACTCCTACCGTCATGCAACCTAGACCATAAACAAATGCGCTCCATGTGCAAGGAACTCATCTTTCAAGTAATACAAGTTGGCCTACAAATTTCATCTATATCTTATGAAACTATCTATGGTTAACAAGAGCCATCACCGCTTCCCTAAAGAATTAAAATTTCACTTGATAATTAAATAGATATGACTAAAATTAGATAGCAAGAAACAACGATAGATACATCATCAAACCATTGAATTCACTCTCAGATTTTGTTCATAAATTTTAGGAAATGCTTTGAGGAGACTTCCATATGAATAGATTCAACACACAAGGCCTCAATGCAAGTAAACCTCCATGACTTTCTCTTGGGAGCAATTCATCAAACATTTGGAGTGCAAAACTTGCAAAGCCATATAAAACAAATCAACATGAGAACAATGGTTCACACCTAAATCTCAACTAAACTTCTCTAAACAACTTACCAAGATTTCTCAAAATCCACATGATAAATATCTCATCAAATAGACATAGGCATAAAGACCAAAAGAACAACTCAAAGCAACCACATTCTCAGATTTTTTTTTTTTTTGCAAGGATAATCCACAATATCTTCCTTTCATTCACTAATGAAGAAGAGTAGGAAAAGAAGAAGAAAGAAGAAGAGTGGAAGAAGAAAAATAGGAGAATAAAGAAGAAGAAAGAGGAAGGGGAAGAAGAAAGGAATACTCACCTTGCAAGGACTCGGGATCGGTCCAGGCGTCGGGACGGGTGGCTGCGTCGGGATCAGTCCAGGCGTTCGGCCCTGGCTGGAGGCGTCGGGCTGAGGTCATGCGAACAGGGGAGATCGGGCTTGCTGCCGTCGGGTTCGGGACGGAAGAGCTAGCGGGGGCTTCAGCTCTTCGTGCTGGTGCCGACCGAGAGCCACAGGGAGGGAGGGGGGCAACGGATTTAGCGAACAAGGAGACCAAAAGGCCGGCTTCCTGTCCTGGTCCGAACAAAGAAGAGACCGAGAGCGAGAAGGTCAGAGAGTAAAGTCGAGAGAGAGAGAGCGTGAGGGAGCGAGAGCTGTTCCGAGAGAGGGGGAAGGCGTCGTCCCGTCGAAGCCGAAAGCTTCATTTTTAGTAAGTCAAATCCCTCGTCGAAAAAAAGAAGCCCGCCAAGCGACATCTTCGTGCCCCCAGCCTTCAAAAATACCATAAGCAGCTCTCATCTCTGCCCGATGCCTACCTCCGTCACAGAAGATCCCTGAGATGCGGGATACGGGCTGAAACGACGATTTCATCCGATCGTAGCCATTGACGTCGTTTCCTGATTTAGGAAATAGGTTCAAAATGTATAAAAAGTTAAATGACATTTAATGGGATTAAATTAGGCTGAGCTAAATTGAAATTGGCTAAGATTAGATTGAGTTCGGGTATGAATCTAGCTCGATTCGGACTCGAGCTGGTGCAACGAATTTAATTGAACGAAATTAAATTCAAAATAAGCATCAATTTAACTCCAATTAAGTACGACATGATGAAAATAAGCTAATCGAGTCTAACTGAACACATTCGAGTCCGATCCGGCTCGAGGCGGGTCGATTCGAACTCGAATTGGGTTCGATGGGGTTCAATTAAACCGATCAAAGGTGTTCGAATACGATCGAGCCAAAATCGAGGTCAACACCTGACACTACTCTTAGAGGAAATCTGGTTAAATATTAAACTCAATCTACCTCCGAGAAAATTAAAGAAAACCCATAAGTTCATGAGAGCGGGGTTATAATTATAAATTTAAAGATAATTTTCTTGGAGGCGAACATTGAGTTATGTTGCTATGCATATAGATGCATGTTCAAGTTACATATGGAGATGTGATGTGATAAAAAACTATCAAGTATTTTGAGCTATTTGAGATTGGTGATATCATTATATTGGTACTATTGCGAGGTGAGGAATTCACGGAGATAAAGTGAAAAATTTCAAGTCATAGAAATGCACAAAAATTCATCGCACAAATAGAAACCTGAGGAGATAGAGGGACACTAAACTTTTACGTGGAAAACCCTAAGCTTCCGACTCATATTTGTATCAAGTTTGTGCCAGACCAAGATATTTTTTGTGACATATCAAATAGAGAGACAAACATATATTTTAATAATCACATATCAACCATAATTATAGAGAGGCATTATACTATTGTTTGTGGAAGTGCTGCTTCCGATTAGGGGTGTCAATTTCGGGTCATGGTTCAGGTTCGGGTCGAACCCAAAATTGATCCAACACTATTCGGGTCAACCCGAACCCAACATGCATAGAAAATATCAATACAATTATTTTAATGCCTGAAAATACAATCATACTATATATCATCATACCTCAAAATAACCTATAGTCATTTGTTTTTTCCACTTCACATTTGCTTATATTTTATTGCATTTAAACATGTATATTTATTGTCGGTTCATCATATATCTATACCGGGAAGATAAATGATACCTAAGGAAATCTAATGATTTCATGTAGAGTCGTCACTCTGGAGGCCCGTTGACCCCGGCTAGCAAAAAATCAATAGGATTCTTCCAACATGCATGCAATCATACAAGATAAATGATTTTATGAATAACCAACAAGCACACATAAATCAACATGTCAAGCATGATTTGTATAATTACTAGGATTTGTAGGAATGAGATATGTTTCATTTAAACAAACTAAATTGCATAAATTACACTTTTTAACGTATAAATCTAGCTTGCATGAATAAGAATATATGAGCAATAAATCAATGTATAGTTATGCTTAACCCAAGCTTATTCATTATGAACGATAGGGAATGTTACTACATGTATTGTTATGCTAAGGAATCCAACTTAGGACTGACATCTAAATAATTATAAAAGAGTTCAAATACAAATATCACTGATTACACCCCTAACAAAGAAGGGTACATTTAAAAAAAAAAAAAGGAAGAGAAAGAAGAGTTTTAGGTGGTTGCAAGTGGGAGAAAAGAAGTAAAAAGTGATGTCCTAAGTTATCTATTGGGTTAATTTGAAGAGAGGGACGTCGGCAGGAGCTGGAAAATTTCAAAACAATGAAAAACTTGTGTGGTTTGTGCGATTAGAGGGAGAGAATCGCGGTTGGGAGCCGCTTGGGTTGCTCGCGTGCGAAAGGGGCAAAGGAGGAGCAGGAGAGGTCGGCTGGCCTGCCTGGGTGAAGAAATTCCGACACCAACAGATTCGAGTCAGGATATAACACGGCCTAGAGCGGAGCCGTTTTGACTCCAACAAAACTTTCAAATTTGTTTCTCTTAAAATAAAATAATAGATGCATTTATCAATTTTCAAACATTATGTGATATAAAGTCAAATATTTATAGTATTAATAATTTTAAAATCAAAATCATATAAATAATTTTTAAAATTTTGTAATACCTCAAAATTTTAATAAAATTTACATTAAACTCTTATCATATAAAAACCCTCGACTATTTCACCGGTCTCGAGCAGCAGCAGGGGGAAGCCGATATTCTTAGTGCAGTTATAAAAGGCGCCCTCATACCCAAGGTTCTTCCTACCTCATTTTCTTGGAGAATAAGTTACTCTTAACTATAAAGAGGGGCCATCGTTGCTCGCTAGAATCTGTAGAGGAGAAAGCCAAGCGGGAGAAGATGATCGAGGTGGTGTTGAACGATCGGTTGGGGAAGAAGGTGCGGGTAAAGTGCAACGAGGATGACACCATCGGTGATCTGAAGAAGCTGGTAGCGGCGCAGACTGGAACACGGGCGGACAAGATCCGCATACAGAAATGGTATAACATATACAAGGATCACATCACACTTAAGGACTACGAGATCCACGACGGGATGGGCCTCGAGCTCTACTACAATTAGCTCCTTGTACGCTTCTCTAAATTGAGTTTGGGATTGGTTTTGATGTATCGCGTTTCTTTATTGCTGTGTTCGAACTTGATTTATTCTCTCGATCGTAGTGTTAGGGTTTGAAAATTATGTTCCATGTCGTGCTTGTCATGAGTTGTAAGAAACTGTGTGTTTGGGAAATATATGTACGAGATTTATGCTAGAATCTCATTGGTCCTAGATGCTATGTACGAAGAAAGTTGTTTTTAAATTGATTTTCTGGGTGGATGGCAGACTTTTCATAAATCTGAAATTCCCTCTAATTTTTAGGGCATCAGGAATCTCTTGAATGTTCTGATTTTATCAAGTAATCGAATAGTTAGTTCCACAAGGATTGATAAGGTACCATAATATGAGATACAAGTGCATCCAAGTTCAGGACATATCATAGATAATTCATGATCAACAAAGACGAGGTTGCTTTACGAGGATTCATACATGTATCAACTCTAGAAATACACAATAATGCATCTGCTAAAGAGATAATTGGCTTGATAACAACTACAATAAATAGGAAGAATGAAGATGGAGATTAGGAGGCCCCTGCAACTTATTGGAGAGTAACCAATTGAATTGTAATATTTTGTTGCAATTTTGCGTGAAAAAAATATGTTTCGCTCGGCGGCTTCCATAATTCCTTAGCAATGCATAAACTCTGCTCCTCACCTGCAATCTTATCCTCAATTTGGGTACGCTTGTCTGTATTCTTAACTCAGGGGAATATTTCACGAAAGATTAATGGTCATGCAGTATTATTTTAAACATTAGCATGCTGAAATAGATGTGATTATTTATTGTCTATGCAAAAGGGTTTTGTTATCTGTGTTGGAATTTCGCCATGTTCTTTCAACTTACCAAGTGTTCTTGCTCAATGTTTCTTCGGAGCATGCCAACGATTGTGTGGTTGAGGCACAACTGTGTCTCCTCTAACTTCCTTATTGATAATTGTTCATGTAATACCTATGTTCTCCGGAAAATTGAAGGAATCAATTGGTGTTATAATCAGTGTGAACAACCAACTGAATCCTGCATTTGCAATGATAGAATTGGTATTAGTATTAGTGTATTACAGTCATATGCACTGTAACCAATAGCTAATATATAGGACTTTTAGACAGCTCGGTTGAATGTGGTAGGTTGTGGAATAATAACTTTGAATACTCATAATGAGGACACTACTTATATTTGGAAGCTTGGCAAAGATTTTCTGGCCTTTAATTGGATCGTGTTTTCTTGATTTGGGGAGAATAGATGGATCCATGCTAGGTTTTTGTGCAGGTCAAAATAGGGGGAGGGGAACCATTAGAGTTGTTGGGGTTTAAAAACTTTGGTTAAGGTTGTTTGGGTGGTTAGGGGTGTGTTATGTAGCTATGCTAATATTGTAATGCATGATCCGTTATGTTGAGCTTTAAGCTAAACTATGAGAAATGATGTAGTAAATTTTTTCTAGTATTTGCTAATTTTTTTATTACTATTTGGTTGGATTAGTAGAAAGAAGAGACACAACCGAGTTAATTTGTCAGCAATCCTATAGAATACGCCCTTTATGTGTCATTTATCGGTATTGAATGTACAAATATTTGCAAGTGATGCTTCTGCTTCTATAATAAATAAATCACATCCAATGCAATCCTATTTCACTATGAACTGAATGTATTATATTTTATAAGAAATTGCCCAACATTAAGCGTGTGGTTTCTTTATTAATTTTATAAGTTAAAGGGTGGTTGGAAATGAATCTCTAGATACATTTATGTTTAATCAAATCATTGCTAATGGTGCTTGTGCAAGGGTGTTATAAACCATGCATCTTTGTATGAATTTGTTAGTTAAGTTTTTGCTGAAGAGGTATTTTTCATATTTATTATGCAAACACATACCTAATATGCATTTCAAAATATATTTACGTGAATCAGTATTTTTAAGTAGTTCAACAATTATGTGATGTTTTTCTTGTTCATTGTCATGTTGAAATAGTATTAATTGATGCATTATGTTAGTTTTTTTTTTTCATGACTGCTAAATTTTTATTCAAGTTTATTGTTGTTTATAGATGAAAACAATAAGATATAAGGGTTTAAGGTTTTATGGTGGAGTTATGGAAAACCTAGTATTAAGAATAGGGGATTTCAATGAAAGGTTTGAGTAGGAAGGGACTCGTGCGATTGAGCAATGATTAGAGTCAATGGAATTTTAATTGTTCAATGAAGTGGTACAACTTTTAGGGACCAAATCACAAATAATTAGAGCTTTGAATCACTCAATTTCTATAAAAAAATGAGCGAGTTATGTCAAATACTAAATTTTTTATTAAGAGAATTGAGAGAAATTATTAATAGGAATTTTGATTTTCTTTCAAGCCTGACAAATATTTCATACTGGAGACTTATAGCTTTTATGAGAAGTAGCGATAATAAAACCCGATTATGTTGATAAGGCATTAATTGAACTAATGAATAAGATGTCTTATCTCAATGCTTACATAATGAACGTTGATACGTTTTCACAAAATTATCTTGATAGGGCACGAATCTCGAGGCAAAATCAAGTTGGAAACTTCCAAAATTAAAAATTGGGACCATCCAAACTCTGATTTTAGCAAACTTATAGTCGAACTGAATGTCTCGGAAATACAAACCCAACGACACCAAAATTGACTCAATCCGAGCCCAAATGGATTCGAATTAAGGATTCGAAGCGCTGGTGGAAGGTTCAAACCACAATTTGGATTACCAAACGGATTCCAAACGTGACATGCTTATAGTCGAATCGAGTGGCTCGACTAGACGTCCAACGAGCCTAAGATCACCAAATTTCGACATCACTAAGACATTCAAATGTCCATCAAACGGTCCTTGATCAAGGGATTCAACATCGGCCATCCATCCAATCACTTCCCATTTACCCTTGATCTCTCACATATTTACGGGTCATGCCACTCCAAAAATCTATAAATAGACCCCTCCTTTCTCTTGAGGAGGGACCCCAAGCCAAAGGATTCAAAGAGAGAGATTGGAGATTTCTCTTGCCTTCTTGCTCCTCCTCGACCACCGACTGAGTTCCGCCGGACCACCGCCTAACGTCGTTGCTCTGTCGGACCACCACTTGAGGCCCTCACCTTTGCCGGACCACAACTTGAGGCCCTCACCTTCGCCGGACCACCACTTGAGGTCGTCACCCTCGCCGGACCACCACTTGAGGCCCTCACATTCGCCGGACCACCACTTGAGGCCCTCACCCTCGCCGGTCCACCACTTGAGGCCCTCACCTTTGCTGGACCACCACTTGAGGCCCTGAACTCCGCAAGAATTTCGCCAAGTCACTGCCGGATTACTAATTGACGCCCTAACTTCCAAGTGACGCCAGATTTGACATTAGACTTCAACCATACGGTTGACATTTGTAATCTGATCGCCCTTAAGGATGAGTCAGGCCACTGTACTCAACTCAAATTATAGTGAAATCTTTTCAACTGGGCTAGACCCCGTGATATTTCCCCTTTCTAGGCTTTTCCACGTAAAAAAATTTGTATTCTTTGTATGTGAGCTAAATATCCGTGCAACGCTAAGACGTAGAATTAAAACTCTATCGCCGCGCATATTCTAGCTCGCAACAAACATGATGATAGCCATACCTTTGAAATGGAAATTCTATTATTTTGCTCTATGAATGGTTGTTGATCACTTCATAGGATGAAGATGATTTGGTATCATGATGTTATGCTTGCTGTTTTGAATCCTAGTAGTTGCTCACTTAATGCATGTGGTATTGGTTGTTTTATATTGTAAATTGCTCTGAGCCATTGTCCATGAATGAAGGTTAATGGTATTCTATGCAAAATGGGATAAAGTTAACTGTGTTGAGGTCTTATTGAAGCCATCATCTATGTTCCTTTTTTTCTTATAGATGTGTGAAATTAAAGATGGTAATAAGGAGGTTGGGATGAAAGTCAAACTTGAACCTAATTTGATCTGGGATCAAGATGAAAATTTTTAGTGATCTTTATCTCAATCCAAATTATACGGAACAAAATTAAAGATGGGATAAGTAACCATTCATCAAACCTAGATCATCAGATTGCATTGGTTTATTTTATTGGTGCCGATATAATTATAATGAAATAAATTTGATGAGATGTCCAAATTTTGGCCATGTCATGCTGAGGAGAGTGGGATTTAGAGTTGGGGTTTAGTTTGATGTTAAGTACCTAGATGAAAAGTGGAAAGTTGCATTTAGAATGGTTCTTTATCACTTCAGTCTTCTTGTACTTGATTAATCTTGCTCTTGTGTTCTTCCTTAGGCCTTACAAATAAATTGAGAAAATGAGGATGCGGAGGAGTGAATAGTGGCCAATATAGAGAAAGGAGAGAAATTTTCAAGAAAGTGAAATTGATTCAGACGTAGATCTAATTTCATAGAATTAGAATTTTTTTTATTGGACTTATGCGAGCTCCTATAAAAAATGGGGATAAATTCTACATTAATGAATATGGCTAGTTCAAAACTATAGAACATAAAGATGTTTTATTTTTAATTGAATGACTTATTTGTCCAGTTAACCCTTAGAAACAAGGGATATGGAGAGGGAAGCCATGGTGATTAGCAACTCCCAAGGTGGTTAGCTGGTCAAAGATGTTAGCCAGCCACCTCTTCAGGGGTTGGTTTCGTTTTTCTTATTATTGTGTATAATGTGGTGCTTGCCTCTTTCTCATAGCATTCATGTGTCCTTATATGTAGTTTCATGTTAGTCCATGGTAGCCAAATTAACAGTTCTAAATTTGGTTAGCTTAAAGTAATTAAATTGTGTTGATTAATCTAATGCTAAGAGGGCTTCCTGGATTATGACACCTCTCTGTGTCATTGCTCCTACAAATAAACTATTAAGTAGATATAATAAAAAAATGTTGAAGTTTACCCCCCTTTTATGATGTTGTTAAGACATTGTTCTTATGGTCAACTTTATTGATGATTGGACCAAA